AGGATAAAGGTACAGTGACCATGTCTTTTAACTGCTTATTATGCTTAGGACCATATATGGCCAATAAACAGCCAAAGTGGAAGAAGCCTGGAGCCATTGTAAGGACTTAGGAGAGTCCAATGGCAAAAGTTACAATGGCAATTAAGCCGAGAAGAAGGGATCTCTTAGGCTCCTGATGAGGGTAAGGTAAGTGTGGTCGAAGAAAGTGTAATGGCCTAGCTGTGAGCATTGCACACCCTGCATCAGTGTGCCCTATACATCTCGAAGGGCCCATTAAGTGTGAGAAGAGGGTAAAGACCCTATGGTGCAAAGGAAAGGGTAATGGCACATCGAACATAGAAGTGCTACACTTTTTAACATGCCAGGATTTGTGAAAGCCTACATGACATGAGTGCTACATGTCCCAAAAGGTCCATTGAGTGTGGGGAGAGGGTAATGGCATGTCACTAGCTAAGGCATTGCATGCTTTGACAAGCATGGTTTCATAGGAACCACATTGGGATCACAATCAGAGCAAAGGATAACTATGAAGGTTTATTGAGAACCATCATGTAACAATAACCAAAATATGCCAAAAACCATCAGAATAAGAGTGGGACATCAATCCAGCATGCACATATAGTGAAAGAATAAGATCCCTTAGTAATGAGGGTGTTACTAGAATGAATAGGGGAGAATTTCATGGTCTGTATGCAAGTCCTAAGCTAAGAGGGTTAAGATATGTAGCTTGTTTGAGTTGGTATGGGTGAAGGACCGAGAAAGATCAAGACCAAGGTCCTTAAAGCACATATGAGGCTCAAATGTGTGGACCAGGGCCTAAGCTAAGGTACAAAAGCATGGCAAGGTGAGCAACCTAGTGCCGAGAATGGGGATTTCTCATTGGAAAGATCTAAAATGGCCTAAAAGAGTGGCACTGGCAAATAAGCACAACAGGTTCTAGATTAGCCTAGAGACAAGCCATGTTCATGGGCACAAAAGAGCCTGGAGAAGCATGGAGGCCAGTCAACTACATGGCACCAAAATAGCCTAGTATGGGAATAGTTACGTGTACTGTAGCCCAAACGAGGAAGGCTTTAGAAGGCTCTAGCTATGGGTAGAGCAGTGACCAGATGGGGAAGGTTTAGGAACCCACTAGGTAGGGCACTCAATAAGAGTGCTTGGACTCTTCCAAACCCAAGGCTTAACGAGGAGCTTGGAATAAGCTTGATTCTACAAGTGCCTTAGCTGACCTAAGAAGTGTCTAGAGGCCATGGAAGGCTCTAGAAAGCCTATAAAGGCAACACACTTGGATCAATAAGGGCCATATGTGCTGGGGAGGCCTAGGTATAAATAGAGGCTTCCCCCTTATTTATAGTTAACAAGAGAACCAATAAGAGAAAAGTAAGAGGAACCAAGGCATAGACTTAGCCATATTAAAGACTTGAGGATAGACATAAGAGTCATTATAAGGTCATTGAGCAATTGCACATAGCATCAAGTAAATAAAAATTACAATTGCTTTAACTCTTCTTCCTAGCTTTCTCCAAGCACCTTGGGAGCCAGTGGAATGCACGGCAAAAGTGTTTAGCACAGAGTTAGAAAAAAGGCTAACTTAGGCACATAGATGGCAGTTTCTAGCCTAAGGTCGCATGGGTGCCAGGCTTAAGCCCCTAGCCTATGATAGTTGGTATCAGACCAAGTTTCAATAGAGGGGGATTAGAACCTTCATTATGTGCAGTGTTGATGTTAGTTTAAGTTATGCGAGCAACTTGTATGCTAGTGTGCCACTTGTGATGATAGCTTGCATGGTATGGGTATTGTTGGTTGCTGGTGCTGAGAATAGGGCACAAAGATGCTTGAGTGCTCATAAGGATGTATGCGAGATCCTTAGTTTGAGCTTCACATTTGTGGTTGGGTGCATAGGTGATGTGCATGATGGCTACCCACCCATGTGTAAGGGGAGGAAGGCTAGTCGAAAAAGTGGTTATCATCCATGAAATTTAGTTTGAGAACACCAAAGATCATATATGAGTGCTAGACTCTATGTCAGAAGAGTGCATAAAAGGGTAAAAGCCATGGGTAAGAGCCGAGTGAAGCGATAGTGTATGAGACTTGAAACAGGAGTATTACCATTGCTAAGTCAGTGGTTGAGGTTTAGTGCACTAAGTCTCCATAGCCCAAGGGTAACAACTGAGCCTAGGGGTAAGGGCTTGAGTGAGAGAGATAAGAGTAGCAATTCTTCAGAGGAAGAGGAGGCCAATAAAGAGATACAACAATGGAAGGCATGGAATAAGGGTTCGATCTAGGACAAGTATGATGACTATGCCCTTTAACTACTTCTTGTGCTTAAGACTACAAGAGGCCAAGGAACACCCATAGCAGAAGAAGCTTAAAGCCATTGAGAGGATTTAGAGAGAGTTTAATGGCAAGAGTAGTGATGGTGGTTGAGCCAAGAAAAGAGGATCTCTCAGGCTATTAATGAGGGCACAATGAGTTAGCTACAAAAAGCCACTGGCCCTGTAGATAGAGGGTTTGTCAAAGAAAGGGTAATAGCCTAGATGTGAGTGCTACATGCCTTGCACCTATGTGCACTGTACACCTCAAAAGGCCTATTAAGTGTGGGAAAAAGGTAAGGAATGCATAGTGTAGAGGAGAGGGTAATGGCACATTAGACATAGAGGTGTTGAACACTTCGATAAGCCAGGATTCGTGGAAGCCTATGTGACGTGAGTGCTGCATGCCCTGAAGGGCCCATTATGCACAAAGATAAGGTAATGGCACATCACCAACTAAGGCACTACATGCTTTGAAAAGCATGGTTTTGTGAGAACATCATTGGGATTGTGATCGAAGTAAGGGATGACTATGAAGGTGTACTGAGAACTATCATATACTAAAAACCATCATGTGCTAAGGACCATTGAGATAAGACGGGACATCAATCTAGTGTGCACATGTAGTGAAGGAATTACATTTCCTAACAATAGGGGTGTTGCTAGAACAAGTGAAGGACAATGTCATGATCCATGCGTAAGTTCTAAGTTTAAAGGATTATGAGACATAGCTTGTTTAAGTTGGTGCAGCCGAAGGACCAATAAGGATCGAGACCAAGGTCCTAAAGGCACATATGAGGCATGAGTGTGCAGACTAGGGCCTAGGCTAAAGTTCGAGAGCATGGCAAGGTGAGCAACCTAATGTCAAGAATAGGGAGGGCTCGTTAGAAAGATGGCTCTAGATTAGCCAGGAGATAGGCTAGGTGCATTGGCATAAAAGAGTTTGGAGAAGCTTGGAGGCTAGCCTAGTGTGCAAGTACTAAAGGTTCTAGAATGGCCTAGAGCAAGAACAGTAGTAGGTATTGTAATGCCCAGATGAGGAAGGCTCAAGAATGCCCTAGTTATGGGTAGAGTAATAACTAGACAAGGAAGGTTCTGGAACTCATTAGGCATGGGCACTTAGCAGGAGTGCCCAGACTCTTCTGACCTAAGGTTCAGCAGGGAGCCTAGAACAAGCTAGATTCTATAAAGGCCTTAGCCAAACTAGGATGCGTTTAGGGGCCATGGAAAGGTCTAAAAGGCTTACAAAAGCCACACACTTAGATCAATAAAGGCCATATATGTTGAGAGCCTCAGGTATAAATAGAGGCCTTCCCTCTCATTCGTAATTCATAGGAGAAGCAACAAGAGAAAAGTAAGAGGAACCAAGGCATAGACTTTTTCAGATTAGAGACTTGGGGATAGACATACGAGTCAATGTAAAAGCAATTGTGCATACCATCAAGTAAATAGAAATAGAATTGCTTTAACTCTCTTTCCTAGCTTTCTTCCAAGCTCTTAAGGAGCCAATGGAGTCCATAACACAAGCGTTTAGCATAGAGTTAGAAAAGAGGCTATCTTAGGCACATACATAGTAGTTTTTAGCCTAAGGCCACATGGGTGCTTGGCTTAAACCCCCAGCCTATGAAACTTACTACTGATGCTACCCTAAACCCTTGACCTTTTTACCAAGTCCTTGAATCAAGTAATGGCTCCCTAAGGTGGTGCAACCAGAAGCTACGATCATAGGCTTGGTCTAGCCAAGTTTTTTAGGTATTTGGTAGTCTTATGGCCTTTTCTCATTGACCATAAAAATGCCTTTGTCTAGCCAAGCTCGTGCATGTGTCATGGGTCGGGGCTTAAGCCTAAGAGTGGAAAGGTCCCATGTGAATAGCACTTGCACATGGGTTGGTCAATCCTAAGAGATAAGGGAAGCCTATCCGATAGTGCATCCAGCATAAGCTACAAAAGGGAATCAGGTTAAAATTCCTAAACTAGGACATGATGATTGATGGCGACATTAGGTAGTTTAAAGACATCAGTAGGGGCCTTGGGAAAAGTTTTCTTTTTTGTTTAACAACCTGCCCACCTAAAAAATGGCTCAATCAGAAGTAGGGTTTAGTGGCTAAAAAAAGCACCGCATGTTGCATGGTGTTCAGTGTGCCCCCAATAGGCTTTGAAAATCTAGAGGACTGAGTGCTATCTGCACTCGATGGTACTTATAATCCATTAGGTCTCTAAAGTGAATAGCTTCTTGTCAATGGAATAGTGTTGGCAAAGGAAGTCAGTAAAATGAATCTGTAACCTCGACAAAAGGATTAGCTCTGAGGGCTAGGTATGGAGGTCCCAATCCTGAACCCATTTGGTGTTGGTGCACTGCTTGAACTGCTCCATGGTGAGAGTAGGTCACTACATGCCAATCAGGGGATGGTTGGGAATGGCACCCTCAGGGGCATTTTTTAAGTGATAAATAGTTGACTTAAAACTAGTACAGACAAGAGGAATTTGACTGTTTAATTAAAACAAAGCATTGCGAAGGTCTCTACGGATGCTCACGCAATGTGATTTCTACCCAGTGCTCTGAATGTCAAAGTGAAGAAATTTAACCATGCACAGGTAAATGGTAGGAGTAACTATAACTCTCTGAAGGTAGCCAAATGCCTCATCAACTAATTAGTGATGCACATGAATGAATTAATGAGATTCCCACTATCCCTGTCTACCATCTAGGGAAACCATAGCCAATGGAATGGGCTTGGTAGAATCAATAGGGAAAGAAGACCTTGTTAAGCTTGACTCTAGTCCAACTTTGTGAAATGACTTGAGAGGTGTAGGACAAGTGGGAGCCCTCGAGCAAAATTGAAATACCACTACTTTTAACATTATTTTACCTATTCGATGAATCAGAGGCAAGGCATGACCCCTTATTTTAGACCCAAGGCTGGCCTTGCTCGATTGATCATGGTAGAAGACAATGTCAAGTGGGTAGATTGGCTGGGGCAGCACATCTATTAAAAGATAATGCAAGTGTCCGAAAATGAACTTAATGAGAATAAAAATCTCATGTGGAACAAAAGGGTAAAAGCTTGTTTGATTCTAATTTCCAATATGAATATGAACTATGAAAACACGGCCTATCAATCATTTGAAATTTAAAGCTAGAGGTGTTAGAAAAGTTAACACAAGGATAACTAGCTTGTGGTAGCCAAGTGTTCATAGTGACATTGCTTTTTGATCCTTCGATGTCTGCTCTTCCTATCATTGTGAAGCATAATTCACCAAATGTTGGATTGTTCACACAGCAATAGGGAATGTAAGTTAGGTTTAGATTGTCATGAGATAGGTTAGTTTTACCTTACTGATGGCAGTGTCACAATAGTAATTCAACCTAGTATGTGAGGAACCATTGATTCACTCAATTGGTCATCATACTCAATTAAAAAGTTAGTGGCATGAAGCTACCAAGCTTTGGATTATGACTAAATGCCTCTAAGTAAGAATCTAGGCTAGAAGCAATGCACATGCCGATCATTCAATTGCCAACCTATAGTCGGGGCCCATGGACCAAAAGAACAAATGTCGTAGGTGCAGCCCTCATGGCAGACAGGCCATCTAGGACTCTTGGAGCTCAATTCTCATTGACCAATGGGTAGAATCCTTTACAAATGACTAAAATACGTAATGGGGTATTGTAAGGGGTAGAGTGGCCTTACTACCACAATCCACTAAGATTCAGCCCTTTGTCACTTCAATTCATTCCTCCCCCTACCGCACCCATCAAAGTCTTCTCACTTGATTTTTTTACACCACACCCTTTTGGGGTTGGGAATGAATGGTGTTCTCCATTACAACCGATTTAGCCAAGTGATGAAATCCCTAGTAGACCCAACAAAGCACAGGCCTAAACAAACATAACAGATAGAGCATTCTAGAAGGATTTGGAGACTACTAAGGATAGTATATTTCCCTGTACAATTTAAACTCTTGATATATATCTCATGTAATCTCTTTGTAATCTTGGACTTTATAATAGCCATTGGATTGAGTCAATCCTAGCCTTGATTCATAGGGGCTTCAACTATAAATAGAGGGCTTTCATACCCTCATTTGATGTACACATCATAACTTGAATAATACAAGTTTTCTCTTTCCTATCTCTATTGTTCTCTTTAGCTTTCCATTAAACATCTTATGTGTAGCCTTGTCTAGCAGTAACTTGGGTGATTGGCCCTAGAGTACTGCGTGCCTATGCATTAGTTCAATTAAAGGCTGATCTAAGACACCGAATGAGTCCATTCTCGAGTCTTGGAGTTGCACGAGTCGAAGCTGAGTCTTAACCCATGATAATTGGTATTAGAGCAGGATTTACTTCAAGGTTGTGTTTAGTTCACACTCAAAGTGTTCAAGGAAATGGCATCTCTAAGATATGTTGGTATCTAACAACTAGAGGTCTAGGAGCCAACCTATGGAAAGGGGAAAAAGGCTACCTTGAAAGACATGATGTCAATCATGACTGGCCATTTAGCTAAGTTGAAGGTGATAGTGTTAAAACTTAGGGAGAAGTTTGAGGAAACTAAAAAGGAGATGAAGGAAGGATTTCATGGTGCGCTCAACAAAACCATCCATATGTTCACCCAAAAGAATGAATCCTTAGAGTACATGGTTAAGGTGATGTGCAAAGAGATGAATGAGCTCAAAGAGGAGCTAACAACATGCAAGGCAACCATTGGAAATGGTGTGTTAGCTATAACAACTAAGGCTTAAGTGGCAGTTCCCAAGCCAAAGGAGTGTAAGGGAGCTAGGTCCACAAAAGATGTGGAAAACATTCTATGGGAAATGGAGCAATACTTTCAAGCCATGGGCATTGATGAGGATGCCACTAAGGTAAGTATAGCCTCTATGTATTTGGTTGACATTGCATTGTTATGGTGGAGATGCAGGTGTAATGATGCAAGCTATAGAGATGCTATTGTCTAGACTTGGGAGGAGTTCATGGCAAAGTTTAAGTAGTAGTTCTACCCTAAGTATGCTAATGATGAGTTAAGGGTGAAAATTCAGAAGCTTAGTCAAAAAGGCAAGGTATGGGAGTATGTTTGAGAGTTTTTAGAACTAATGCTTCAAATTTCAAACCTTCGAGAAGAGAAAGGTCTCTTTTGTTTCATGGATGGACTCAAATCATGGGCCAAGAATGAGTTACAATGAAAGGGTGTCAAAGATCTGGCCAAAGCCATGATAGCTACTAAATCCTTGGTAGAGATTTGGCCATAAAAGAAGTTTGAGTCATTTAAGCCAAAATGTGATGGCAGAGACCGATAGTCCATGGAGGGAGACAAAGACCAATAGTCCAAGGATGGGGACAAAGGTCGATAGACCAAGAATGGTCAAGGCAAGCCACCAAATGGAAAGTAGAAGCCAAGGTAGTGGAACAATAAGGATCGTGAGCCACTGCTTGTTACATTTGTAAAGGTCCACACTTGTCGAGAGTTACCCTAAGAAAACCTAGCTATCTACCATCAACAAGGAGGATGGTGATGAGTTAGGGAAGGAAACCACGAAGCTTGGTCTGATAGTGATAAATTCAATCTAGGCCAAAGGGTGTCGCAAGTAGAAAGAATTTATGTTTGTAGACATGATAATGAGGTAAGAAATTGAATGCACTTATGGACACAAGAGTATCTTATTTGTTTCGTATCTGGAGATACAACCCAAAAGTTAAACCTAAAGGTACAAAAATGGGCTATTATGACCAAAACAGTTAACCCTAAAGAGATCCAACAATTGACATATCACATTGGAGTGGAGCTATTAACTTGGGGAGTGGAAAGGCAAGGAATCAATCGAGGGTAATTCTTTAGATGATTATGATCTTGTTGTTGGTTTAGACTTCCTTGACCATATTAGTGCACTTGTGGTGTCTTTCACCTTTTGTATTTGCATATTGGATAGTCGATACGATGCATCACATCGATGAGATAAGAATCAAGTCAAGGACCAAGATGCTGTTTGCCATACAAATTGCCTAGGAGAGTGAGTAGAAAAAAAAAGACACTTTCCTTATAGCCTTAAAGATGGAAAAGTCCAAGCAGAACAGTGTTGACTACCCCTTGGAAGTACTAGAGGTGCTAGAGTCATTTAGAAACATGATGCCAATTAAATTGCCCAAGAGGTTATAACCAAAGAGAAAGGTGGATCACGAAATTGAGCCAATGGAATGCACGGCACAAGCATTCAGCATAGAGTTGGAAAAGAGGCTAACTTAGGCACATGGATGGTTGTTTCTACCCTAAGGCCACATGTGTGCTAGGCTTAAGCCCCTATAAAATGACACCTACTGCTAATGCTACCCCATACCTTAAACCAAGTCCCTAAATCAAGAAATAGCTCCCTAGGTTGGTGCAAGTAGAAGCTATGGTCATAGGCTTGGTCTGGCCAAGTCCCTCAAGTATTTGGTAGTCTTGTGGTCCCTTATCCTCAATTAGAAAAATGCCTTGGCTTGGCCAAGCTGCGGCATATAGACGATGCTACCTAAGACCCCAAGAACAAAGTCTTGAATCGAGCAGTGTCACCCTGGGTGGTATAGTGGAGTTTTTGTGTGCAGCCCCAAGTAGATCAAGCATTGTGTTGTCATGCTATTGTTGCCTATTGGATGGTAACAGTAGTCTCATGGCCCTGGCTTGTGTTTTCCTATGCCAAGCGATTGGCAAGCCTCATACTTCATTTCTTATACTCATTCATTAAGTAATTGAATGGGTGGTGTGTGCATCGATGTGCAATAGGATGCTACTACTTGTACGTAATGGACAATGAGTGGTGTTATGGTTGTGCATGTTGGCAGGCTCCATGCTTGATGCATCAAACTATTGACCTATCATCTTCTTCAATCTCCCCATCCATGTGGTCATCATGCTATGAGGGCATAATCAGAATCTTATGTTTCATGCCTAAACTGATGGAAAACTAGATGTCTTGCCATCCTCATCCATCTTATGTCCTTGAAGGCTATGGGTTGAACCTTAATTGTGCCCCGTGTCCCAAGCATGACACCTAAACCTCCATGGCTGCATTGTTGCACTAGTGTTCGATCATGTTCTTGAATGCAAAATGTTTTGTAAGCACTAGCTTTTGACCCTTATTTGTTCGATGCTACGTATTTTATGTGCTCGGCATGCATGACACTTGTGCTCTGTGTTGGCCCTATCTGCCACTCAATTAATGCATTGAGGTCCATGTAGTGCCAACATCCTAAAAGAAAGTTACCTGGTTGATCCTACCAGTAGTCATATGCTTGTCTTAAAGATTAAGCCATGCATGTGTAAGAATGAAGTAATTCATACTATGAAATTGTGAGTGGCTTATTAAATTAGTTATAGTTTGTTTGATGGTATCTACTACTCGGATAACCATAGTAATTATAGTGTTAATACTTACAACAAACCCCACCTTCTGGAAATGATACATTTAATAGATAAAAGTTTGACATAGGCTTGGTTCATTTCTCTTATGATTCATGATAATTGATGGATTGCACGACCTTTGTGCTAGTGATGCATCATTCAAATTTCTATCCTATTAACTTTCAATGATAGGATAGTGGCCTACTATGGTGGTGACAAGTGACAGAGGTGCAACTTGCATTCAAAGACTCGATGGTTCACGAGATTCTGCAATTCACACCAAGTATCGCATTTCGCTATGTTTTTCATCGATGTGAGAGCTGAGATATTTGTTGTCGAGAGTCATTTCATTTTTTCACAACAAAAAGAGTCGCGACGCTACCCACGCACGCACTGTGAACGGGATGGTGATGGTGCACGAGCTCTATTTTTGTTTTGGTTCCTTGGCGCAATTTACGTCAGGGGTTCGTTGTTCGACAGCGAGTGACAAGACGTCGATCATTTTGCCCGCCCGGTAGGGGGCATGAAGTGACCGTTTCATCTGCCCGAGGTCAGAAGTGGCACGAGGGCACCTTCGCCCCCTCGATGTTTTGTTAACGCATCCGTGGGTCGTTCGTCGAGTGGGGTTTCAACATTGATCCTTCTGCAAATTCATCTACAAAAACCTTGTTACGACTTCTCTTTCCTCTAAATGATAAGGTTTAGTGGACTTCTCACGATGTCATGGGTGGTGAACCATCCACGTCACCGCTATCCGAGCACTTCACTGGACCATTCAATCGGTAGGAGTGATGAGCGTGTGTACAAAGAGCAGGGACGTAGTCAATGGGAGCTGATGACTCGTGCTTACTAGGAATTCCTCATTGAAGACCAACAATTGCAATGATCTATCCCCATCATGATGAAATTTCAAAGATTACCCAAGCCTATTGGCTAAGGCTATAGACTTGTTGAATACATCAGTGTAGCCTGCTAGCGGCCCAGAACATCTAAGGGCATCACAGACCGTTATTGCCTCAAACTTCCTTGGCCTAAGCGGCCATAGTCCTTCTAAGAAGCTAGCCATGAAGGATCACCTCCGCATAGCTAGTTAGCAGGCTGAGGTCTCATTCGTTAATGGAATTAACTAGACAAATCACTCCACCAACTAAGAACGGCCATGCACCACCACCTATAGAATGCAAGAAAGAGCTCTCAGTCTGTTATCCTTACTATGTCTGACCTAGTAAGTTTCCCCATGTGAGTCAAATTAAGCCGACAGGCTTCACTCCTAGTGTGCCTTTCGTCAATTCTTTAAGTTTCAACCTTGCAACCATACTCCCCCTAAAACTCCGAAAGACTTTGATTTCTCATAAGGTGCGACGGAGTCTTAAAAAGTAACATCTGTCGATCCCTAGTCGGCATCGTTTATGGTTAAGACTAGGACGATATTTGATCATCTTTGAGCCCCCAACTTTTGTGCTTGATTAATGAAAACATCTTTGGGAAAAATGCTTTCACAGTTGTTCATCTTTCATAAAAATCCAAGAATTTCACCTCTGACTATGAAATACGAATGCCCTCAATTGTCCCTGTTAATCATTACTTCAATCCCGAAGGCCAACACAATAGGACCGAAATCTTATGATGTTATCCCATGCTAA